CAAGAAAAAAAAGTCTGGAGGGAATACTATACCAGTTTTGCAGTGCAAAGCTGGTTTTCAGGTAGCAACCCAAAAAGTACCTTTGAGTTTTGCACCTGTGTATTGCTGAGCATCCAGGTGAAGAAATCATTCACCACTGGCTCTCACGTTTTAACTCTTCCCAACAGCTACATAAGTTGTGAGCTACAAGGAGTGACGGTAGGACAGGTATCTTGAACTAAGGTAAGAAACCACCTTTTCAAGGTAGCCCCTGTACTAAGCTGAGTGTTATAGTGTTGTCACTCTATACGTTTTATACCCTTGTCAAAACGATTCTGTCTGTATTTAGCGGTGGGACCAAACTATTTCCTGAGAGCACTACCCACTTATTTTAAGGTTATCAATAATGGAAATCATCGTCTTTCACCTTAACAATTTAAAATACAGATTCTCAGCAATAAAATCATGTGAACGCTTAAAAGACAGTATTTTTAGACCAGTGCTCAGATGAGACAATAGCAAAAAGAAATTTAATAGCTTTTTCTGTTGAACCTACCTCCACTTTCTCTGTTAGCAGCTCTTTGCAGGGTGTCCAAGTGCTGGGAAAGTTCAGGAAGCTTCATCCGTAAAAGATCTCGGAAAACAGCCATATCCACAGAGAGAGCACGGAGATTATTGACAAAATAGCTGTCAGGAAGCACCTTATCAATTAGGTAAATCATAATCTGTGGGGAAAAGGGAATATTTTCATGTAGGATTTAGAGCCAGTCATTTTCTAGGAATAATTAAAAAAAAAAAAAAAAGAATGTTAAAGTTCTCTGTTCAGTGAAGAACGGCTTGGAGCCAGTGGCAACACATGCCTCTGGTATCCCATTTATACGGGGAGAAAATTTTCCCATTTTAAGCATCCACAGGTACTCTAGGTATCCACAAGCAATCAAAGCGCAAAGGCCTCTTGAAGCTGTTCAGAATTCATGAACCATTAATGACTGATACCAGCGTCACTGTAAACTATGCTCAAACTAGAAGCATGAGTCAAACCAAAGGCAAATTTTGCCACTTCTAATGCTGTTCACGAGATTCTCCACATTGCTGGAAAGTTCCACTGTCCATTCTCTGGTTGTTAACTGCCACAACCAGAAGACTGATCTTTTTCCCCCCTCTCCAAAATGCTTTTTCTTTAAAAAACACTCTTCACACATCTCACTGTGATGTGTTACCGTGTGCTGCACTTCATCTTATCACTTTAAAAGGTGCTAAACTAAGCAGCATGAGACTTTTTAAACAGACATATGTTTCAAGTGAGACAACTTAACTACATGGGTGGTAATGTATTAACTGGATACTGTCAAACTTTCGAGAATGAACAAATGCAACAAAGAAATACACAGAAGTGGACATATATCATCAACCCAACAGATGCTGACCTTTACTTCCTGATCTTTAACAATTTCTATGGCCACTCTACAAACCACATCCAGAGAGACTACATGTGGTCAACCCATTTGCTTCAACTCTCCATTACTACTTTGTTAAAATCTCAAAAGAGCATCCTTACCAATTGTTTCACACAGCCTCTAATGCTTGAGAGGACCATGGCACCCTCATACACGGGAGATAATTATCCTTCCAGTCCCTCTCCCCTGCTCTAGGGGGTTGGACTAGATGATCTCCAGGGGTCCCTTCCAACCCCTAAAATTCTGTAATTTCTGTGAAATGTAGCTTGGCAAACACTGGACTTCCAAGAGCACCACCACCTTACATGGTCATAGTGCCGCCTCTTATCTCTCAGCTGCTTGTGACTGCATACTACCTCTAAAGATTTTTTCAAGCAGTCTTCTGTTCCATGCTTTAAAGCACCTAGATCAGTAGTCAACACAGGGAAATCAATAGTTCTTACAAATTCTGATTAGTTTTTTCAGTTTTAAGTTTTAAGGGTTGAAAGGAAATATGTGATGCATTCACAGAATCACAGAACGTCAGGGGTTGGAAGGGACCTCAAAAGGTCATCTAGTCCAACCCCAACCGTTGCTAAATATGGGGACACCTCGCTGTCTTTTAAAAATACGCTTTATTTTGTTCAGATACATTTCAACCAATCGAAGAATAATTTAACACAGTAACATTAACTTAAAACTGTGTTGTTCGTGTTTTCATTAATTTCTTACAACATAAGCCACAAATCCGTACCTTAAAGAAACCATTTTATAAAGGCTTTTGCTCCCCTCCCACTGAGTGGTATTACTTCAGAAATCTCAGATATGTAAGAGAATAGGAAAGAACAGAAAGCTTTTTGAAACACTGAAGTCCATCCTATTTCACTGACATGTTAATTGTTTTTAAAATGCTTTTTTCAAAAAAGCAGCTTCATGTATTTACCAGTTTTCAATGGTTACTTTCTTCCTGACACATCTCTACAGATTTATTTTTACTACCTGAGTTTTTAATATTTCCCCACAATAACATGCAGGAAAAAAATTTTAAGTTTCAGTATCTGTGAGACTTTTATCCATACTTCGACAGCTTCTACACATGCCGTAATTTTCATGCTTATCATAATGCCAGTGGGCTAACTCTGAGGGATTTAACTTAAACGCGTTTACCTTAACTAATGAAGACTCAAGCATCCCTGGCTCGGCACTCACTGAAGCTACCACAGAATCACAGAAATCATCAAGGCTGGAAAAGACATCTAAGACCACCAAGTTCAGGTGTCAACCCAACACCACCATGACCACTAAACCACACCATGCTGGGGCCTGTGCTGTTAAAGCCCCGTGGTGTCAGGGCATCAGCTGTTTCCCAGCCTCCGGGACACACTTCTCAGACACAGAGCTTTTGTTCGTAACATCCCTCCCGGAAAGGGGAGCTGGCTGGCGAGGATCCCCTTGGATCCTGAACTACTAGACTCTGCAACAATCCAAATTCAGGTTTTCCCATAGCTCCAGTCCTGAGGGCAGCTCTACGGGCAACAGCCTCTGCAGCTGTTACGAAGTCTCTCATTACTTGCTTTCGCGGGCAGTGACTGCAACAACGAAATAGCCATGTGCTAACCCCCCATTCCTTTCCCTCCCTACCCTGTTCCTTTGTAGGTTTTTTTCCCTTCCCTTTTCCCTCGTTCTTCTGGGGAAATTCCAACTCCGCAAAGCCCACACATTAAGTCTGGAAAAGAAACTGTTTTATATTCCACTCTTATTTTCACCAGTCACAGGACAGTCTGGCGCTACTCCATCGTCTCCTTAGCACAAGGAGCCTGACACCACTCCCAGGGAAAGACAATACAATAATATAAGGATGCACATAGTTCTTATAATCGATTTGAACTTCAGAAACCTTGGGCAATTGTATTTTCTATATTACCATAATGTGGTTTAGGAGCTTCTGGACAGTATAATAACGCAGTAAAATGTGACAAATTATACTTTAAAATACCAAAGAAATTTTTAGCAAGAATTATTGAATGGAAATTTTACTCTCTGATATAAAGTAGGTATATTACAGTATTTTCCTCTTATTACAGGCAGCTCTCTAAAACAAAGTATTATACACCACCTGGCTGGACTCCACTACCACAGGCTCTGAGTGAATTTAAATATTTACCATATTTAAAGCATTGTCTCAGGCAAAACAAACAGCCTAGTACCTCAAGAGTCACAGTCATTTTTTACTAATTCAACCCAAAATTCACAAGCAAGTTTATTTAGGGAAATTTGCACATGATCTTGGCAAACCTTAAATCACATCCTGTAGTAAACAGTATTTCCATTTTTTGTCCTATTACAAACTTCACAAAGCTTTCTTTTAATTAGAATAGAAAAGCTCTAAAAAATATAACACTGTATGACTATCATGTTCAAAGTGATTTGCTTTAAGTATTTATTTTGTGTTTTCTTAGAATTTGCTTTAAAACACATCAGATTTATTAACTGCCTTGAATGCTACTGCCACACAAGAGGCTGATAATGGAATCTGAAGGTTTCGGCTATCTGTGGTGTTGGGAAGCAGATTTGGGATTATAGGATAAGATATTCTAAAGTCAGTAGCTGTGTTACCGTTCATCTTTATAATGGTCAATCTCTCATTTGTTTCTATTCGAAAAAATTTTTAGCAGTAATAACATTCCAACTCTTCATTTTAGCTCAGACAGGTTAACAAACAATCCACAGATATAAACAGATTAACTCCTTTGAGTCCTGTTCTCTCAGGCTGTCTACAAAATTCACACACTGGTTTATTCTAAAGTCCTCTAACTAAATGCAATCCTAACACCGAAAAAAATTTTTTACTCACTTTCAGGGCATCTCCTTCATTGCCCTCCATTACTTCCAGAATAAGTGCGGCCAATATGTTAAATCCTTGACAATAGCCAACAGATTTATTCCACCTGGCATAAGCCAGCAAAACACGTTTTAATACCACTCGATCTTGCTCTGCCTCCTGGCCACAGTAAGAACTGCAACCAGTTCGGTGAAGGTCCTTTAGAAAAAAAAAGTAAAAGAAATATAAAAGAACAGACAGAAAGATGTGCATTTTCCTTCCCCCTTTAGTTTTGCCCCCCCGTGCCAGTTTTCCTTCCACCTCTGCCCTCCCAGCACATACTCCCAAAGCTGACGACAATGCTACCTTTTTATCTGTAAACCTTTACCTTATCGAGGAGAAATAGGTTTAGCACACTCTTAAGTAAACAAGTTACCTAAAAGACGCTAATATGAAGCTGTCACAGAAGATATTAACAGCTATCTACGTTTCAAAGGGCAAGACATAACAGCTGCTCATCTGAACAAAAACAAGCAACTATTTTTATCAAAGAGCTACTAGCCAGTTAGTTTCAAAACATAAAAAAAACATAAATGGCGTCCCTGAGATTTAAGTGATTTATAAGCAAAAGGCAAAACACATAAAATGTTTAAGACATCATAAGTAATATCTGTAAGCTTAAATTACCAAGTAAAGATGCCATTGTAATAATCAAGAATACAAAGTATATTGCTCTGTGTACTCTAATTGAGGTGACTATAGAACACAATCTCTCCAAAATAGAGTAATACCTCCTAAATAGGTAAACAGACTAATATTTAAATTACTACAACAGTACAAATCTATTAAGCTCCTCCCTAAAACTGACCACTTCCATAAACATCAAACATTAACTGAGAAATACACATAGAAAAAGGTGCCTCACTCCCGTAAATTAGAATCATAGAATGTGGGAAGGGACCTCTAGAGATCATCTAGTCCAACCCCCTGAAAAATGCTCAACTGCTATATTATAAAACATACTTTTTAGTCCTGGCAAATCTGTGTGTTTGTTTATAAAAAGGAAAAAAAACCCCTCACATTCCTAGGTTTCCATTAAACTCCAGTATTCATTTTTAAATAAAAAGTAGAAATTGGAAAAAAAAAAAAATCAGCAATAGTAATTCTTTCCCAGCTAACACTAACTAGACCAGTGCAGAAGGACCAAAGAAGACAAAGAAATAATTTTAGTGGTCCAAAAGAAATTAAGATGTCATTTTTGCCACAGCAGTTGCAGAGAACAAAATAAATGTATTTTAAAAATAACCAATATTTCATTTAAAAAATAAAATAGAATACCAAAATTAGCTGGCTACCTTTACTATCTGGATGCCCATAGAATCATCATCAGGATTACTTCTTTCGTTGAATGTGAAACGCATGGTTTTATCCCAGTCAATGGCTATACTGTGTAAGTACTGATCAGCTAGGGTCAGCCAAACCTAGAAATACACAAAGCAAGTCAACAAAATTAATTATTTCTCAGATAAAGTATGAATAGTTTTGATATACACTGTTAGGTGAACCTCATCACCTTCACCCACATGTGATCTGTTGTTAGACTTGAAATATGTAGAAGAGGACTGTATCTAAATTTTTGCACAACTAAAGTAATACTTTGCTCCCTAAAAGAGAAAGAAACGGCATTAAGAGTCAAGATCTGTGAATCGCTTATGAAGATGTGAGTCTGTTGGCAGAAACTGAATCCACATGGGCCCTCTAAGCACACTCTCCTGCAAAGATGCTCCTTCTCAGTTTGGATCTCCCAAACTCATAACCAACAAGCAATTTTATACAAAGATAACACTGTTGCAGGCTTTCCTCAAACTCAACCATGGATCCATCTGGAAACCCCACAAAGGCAATCTAGACCTCTTTACCAAAGGTCTCTTCTGATCAACAACTGCAGAAGAAACAGCATCTAGCATTAACTATTTGGGACTGACTCAAAGTACCACTTGGATCAGAGTAACTTACTGTTACAAGAGGTCTTCCCTAACTTCTGGTGCTCCAGGGAGTTCTGGAAACAAACATTTTGACTATTTTTAAAGCCTAATAATTAGCAGAGCAAATTTATGCATGTGTATTAAAGTCAAAGGCTGGACGTTTTTTAAACATTTGAAAAATCAAACCCTGAAACACACGACAGATCATAAAATGACAATAAAGGATCTTCCTCTTCAGGGAACTGAAAGAAAACACGAAAGCAAATTGGTTGAGTTTTATATCGGCTGTTAAGTCACTCAAGTGAGAAAAGCAAATCAGACACTTCCTACAGATTTAAACTCTTAGCTAGCTGCATGATGAATTTACAGACAGCTCTCAGAATCTCGTGTTTTTCGTATTTCAGTGTCCCTTCCCACGCTTCTGCAAAGCCACCCACACGGGAGGAATGCCACTGTTCTGCCTCTCAGCAGCCGCTGCCATTGCTGACATCCTACTGATGTTGTTTGACTGGTTTGTTTTCTGGGGCTGGCAGAGACAAAGAAATGTCACATGCCACAGTAATAATGCAGATGTCACCCTGCTCTTTCTGCTGCTAGCACAGGAGGCAATCAGTATGCTGCCAACACAAAATGTTCCTTTATTTTGGTATCAATCTGAAGATCACTGAGAAATGGCAGTGCTACTACTTTGGTTAGGACCATGTGGTCATATGTAAGCAAACACAGAGATGGGCAGAATGAGAAGGAAAAGACAGAGACCTGAGTTGGATGATGTGGCAGAGCATACCCTCAGCAAGTCTGCTGATGACACAAAACTGGGAGGAGTGGCTGATAAGCCCAAGGGCACCTTGACAGGCTGGAGAAATGGGCTGACAAGAACTTCATGAAGTTCAGCAAGAAGCACAAAGTCCTGCACCTGGGCAGGAACAACCCCAGGCACACATCTATGCTGGGGACCATCCAGTTGGAAAGAACCTTTGCTGAGAAAGAGCTGAGGTTCTTGGTAGAAACCAAGTTGACCACAAGGCAGCAACATGATCTTGTGGCAAAGAAGATTAACAGCTTCCCGGGCTGCATCAGGCAGTGTTGCCAGAAGGCTGAAGGAGGTGATCCTTCCCCTCTGCACAGCCCTGGTGAGACATGTGGAGCGCTGGGTCCAGTCCTGGGCTGCCCAGTACAAGAGAGGTACAGAGCTAATGAAGAGAACGCAGCAAGGGGCTACTAAGACGATTACAGGACTGGAGCATCGCTCCTTTGAGGAAAGGCTGAGAGAGCTAGAAGCATTCAGCCTGGAGAAGGCTTATGTCAGATCTTATCAATTTATATAAATACCTGAAGGGAGGGTACAAAGAGAATGGAACCAGGCACTTATCAGTGGTGCCCCATGACAGGACCAGAGGCAATGGGCCCAAACTGAAACACAGGAGGTTCTGCCTAAACATCAGGAAACACTTTTCGACTGTAAGGGTGACAGAACATTGGCACAGGTTGCCCAGAGAGGCTGTGGAGCCTCCTTTCTCAGAGATATTCAGAAGCCATCTGGACACAGTTCTGGGCAATCACCTGTAGGTGGTCCCGCTTGGGCCAGAGGTACCTTCCAACCTCAACCATTCTGTGATTCTTTGATCTCTGTCTCTCAAAGAATCATAGAATGTTAGGGGTTAGAAGGGACCTCTAGAGATCATCTAGTGCAAGCGCCCTGAGAGACTTCCCTGGAGTGTGGGGAAAAACATTTTAGGAAAGAAGAAAGGCTGTTAGATGGATATAATGATTCACTGGAGCTGTAGATTAAAAATAAAAACATAGTGGCATGAGGAAAATAATGCTGCTTTAAGTCTTTCATTTTCTTCCCCCTAAACTGTCAAGTGGAACAGTTTGGTTGGAAAAGATAGTAAAAAGAAAACAGGAAAAGGCAATTAATCTGATATATCAAAAATATATGAAACTGCATATATTTCATAAAGCTTAAAAAAATTCTTTTTTTATTAAAATTCCATTTTTAAAGTTGAGATCATGTGACTCAGTTTTATAGAAAAGATGAATAGACATGCCTTTCTTTTAGGCTAGGGAACTTCAAGAAGTTGTTGAAGAAATCAATAAAGTAAGTTTAGCAAAATCCCAGTGGACACTTTCCTACCACATTAACTCAGTGCAATTTCCCATTAATGGCACACTCTGCCGTTCTACATCACTCCTAACTCTGAACTTCCATAATTTAGGCAATCTGCCTTTCCCCCATCAAATGTTCCTATGAGCATTCTTGTCAGCACTAGCATCCATCAACTTCATCTTTGTACGAATGACAGTCTACACTGCAGATTTGCTCTCGTGACTCTGACAGAATGAAGCAATAACATCCGCACCAGAGTAAGTTACCAAAGCCTCAGGCAGAAACATCCCAACTAGTGAGAAAATCTTCTTACCTGTCTCCTCAGTCTCTCCAGCTGCCCTGCAAGGTTATCACTGAACCATGTAAGCTAGAAAAAATTCTGACTACAACTTAAACTTAAAACTTTCAAATATTTGTTAAAAAAATGAGAATATTGATGTCATTCACCCCTCCTGAGAATCATAGAATGGCCTAAGATAAAAGGGACCTTAGAGATCATTTTAATCCAGCCTCCCTGCCGCCAGGGATGCCACCTCTTGACTAGATCAGGCAACACATGGAGACCGAGCGGGAATCGAACCCGCGACCTTAGCGTTGTTAGCGCTAACGCTCAACTGACTGAGCTAACCGGCCAACCACAGGCATTACGTCCCACAAAGCATAGAGGTCTACTTACCTTTCTCCGCCATTCTTTCGGGATGCCTGTTGGCAATCTAGCCACTGCTTTGAGAGCATCATGCCACTAAAAGCAAAAGCATTCAAAAATGTATAAAATCTACCATTAGTTTAATGCAACAGCATAGCAACATCTACAACACTGAAGACATGCATACTCATTTAATTTTACTGCACACATTTCAGAGTTTAACTGTTTAATCCACTCACAGGGAAAATCTACATTAATTACTTAATGATAAAAATATAATATTCGAGGACACAAAGACTGATGAGATATCTGAGTAAACAATAAAAGCCTATTGCGTTTTCCAAATGCTGATGAAACAGCTCTTGATGCAACTGCAAATAATATGTTGACATTATGATGACAGATGCACTTTTGAACTAGGCCAAGTACCTTGACTGAAGAGAACCCAGTCCTTCACAAACACAAGAGAAAAATTAATCAAAATACCTGCTGAAAACCGTTTTGACCTAAAGATGGCTCAAGAGTGAATTTCAGCTTTGTATCAACCCCTAGAAACAAAAAGGAAAAAAACAATCATGGGTCATTATGTTCATTTAGCTCAGAAGGACTAAATAAAAACCATAAACAACAAAACACTAGAATTGAAATAAGAATACAATATTTCAGCTGCATGTTTCAACAACTACATTTCAACCTGCTTCTGGGAATTCTTGTCTTCACAGTGGTTTCAAGGCACACATTAAGAAGTATATGGACAATATTTTAAAACACAGTAATACTCTTTGTACTCAAATGATGTAGTTCAGCATTATTCATTTCATGCAGCTCACTATTCTACAAACTGTATTTGTACACTGCAAACTATCATATGTATTCACAGAAAAAAATATGAGACAAACTATCATATGTATTCACAGAAAGAAATATAAGAGACAAACAGTTTCTTTCCAGCTATAGCAACTTCTTGACATTTAAGCAATCAAAACTGATTTCAAAGTTTGGGGTGCTAAAATTATCTTCTTGCTCAGAATATATATA